GATACCAGCCAACGCTCCCACATCGCTAAATGGAGCCTGGGGTCAAATACATCATGAAGTTAGTGTAGTGGTAGATCGTGTAATGCGTTATAACAACATATTTAAGCATCCGTATACAGTCATAGTGCCGCACGATTTAAACTTAAACCCATCCAATGCGGTAAGTAATAATTAATAACAAATTTAAAACAAAGTAGCCTGATTTCCGATTGCGTTTCACAGCAACCTTTGCATAAAATTGATGAGAAAGTTTTTTGTTGGAAAACTTTAAGGATCGTATCGAACCTGTTCGATTCAAATAGAAAAAAACCTTAAGGAGTAAAAAAAAAACTTGCTAAAAGCAATACCTATTAGAGTCTTTCTCTTGTGAATATAGAAATTTTTAGACACTTATGAGCCACAATTCACACGGAAGGGTCGGGAGGCACATATAGATATGCTTGCCATATAATTCAACTGCAGTGATTTATATGTAATAAAAATATTGAACTTTTTTAAATATTGCATCAATTGGAAAGGAAGATTCTTGTTTTTTGATGGCCAATCGCTCTGGCCATCACGAAGATAGGAATGGCCAGAAAGAAGAAGTGAAGAAAGGGAAGGATATAGAGAGGTGAAAGTAGCCTAGTAGTCTGTATGAATAAACTCTCACTACGGCTACAATCCAAGCAAACTTTTACTACTTCAAAAATTGTTTAGCCTAGCAAAACCTAATCAGATATCTTAAATAGTTGTTTTTTTTGTTCATTTAATTTTACCCTGTGATATATGTGGGTATGAACACAAAGTTATCGATGGGTGCGAACGGATATTAGTACATAATCGTCACGGCAGCTGGGAATCACAAGACAAAATTAGGAGTATTCGATTCTCGATTGTATTCATAACATTGTAGTTCGGACAGATTAAAAAGAAGAAAATATTTACTGAAATACTTTAGAAATTCTTACGTACTCCTCCAGGTTTATAACATTCTAACTTTTTGATGTTCATGTATACAAATGTGAGTAATTATGATTTGTCGCTTGTGTACAAGAGAGATTGAAGAATTTATTAATATATCCGACGTGACTGGCAGTAAACTAAATCTAATATGGCATCAATAGTAGGAAAGCATTTCTGGTTTGAGGTAAACAAACTATTTGAAAATTTCCGCTCAAACAGAAATCAGGAATACTTAGTAATTTCTAGCCAATTCAAGATGATCCAATATCTACAGTTATTTGCAATACATGTTGGTTTAAAGTCTCCGATTTTCATGAGTCTTCATGAGAGAGTGTGGAAGAAGCTCAACGTCAGCTGAGCGAAACATTTCTAGTGAAAATAGAAAGTCAAACTAAGGCGAGACAACGACATCACTTTTTAGAGGATGATCTGATTCCCTCCAGTTCTTTGCCCAGCAAAAGAGAACCTGATGATGAGTTCAATGAAATTAACGATGAGGTAAAGTATTTAGAGATCTCAATTACAACCGTGCAATAATATATTTTATTTTTTTTCAGACGAAGGAACATATTGTGGAAAAGTATGGCGGTGAAGAACATTGAAGAACATTTGCAAGCACCACCTAAATCGCTAAATCGCTACTGTTGGCCCAAACCGAAGATTATATAGAATATTCGTGTAGCGGCAAAGGAATGGAAAAACCAAAAGCTCGTAGTATATAAGGATATTATCTTAGTAATATATAAACTGGGATTATTTGGGAAAAATGAAAATCTCATATTAATCTATTGTTAATTATTTTGAAAAATTGAAAAATTTGATGTTAATTCTTTCCATATATTCATACAAGTGCTTGAAATATAATATATAATCTTTTTTATATAAATGTATAAAAAATATGCATTCATCTCCCCTTGTACGTCTCCTCAATAGTTTTATACAATTTTTATAGGCGTGGCATTCGATTTTACCCTATTTTCAAAAATAAAAAGATTACTCTTTCCTGCAGGGGTTTATTTATATTTTATTTTATAGTTTATTTATATATTAATTCGATTTAATTTAGTTTTAATAAGAAATTCAAAAGGTACATTGTTATTATTATTATCAGATCTAACAATATTTATAGCCGTTTTAGGTGCTAATCATGAATTTGATTTTAAAAAAATTAGTGCTTTATCTATTTTAAGACAGTTATGGTTAACAATAAGAATTTTATCAATTGATTATGTAAAATTAGCTTTTTTTCATTTATTAACTCATGCATTATTTAAGGCATTATTATTTATATGTGCAGGAACTATCATTGATAATATAAATAATAATCAAGATATTCGTTCAATAGGAAAATTAAGAATTTCTATACCTTTGACATCTTCTTGTTTTGAAGTGTTGGACCTAAAAAATTCGCATGCTAAATTAACTAAAACATAATTAAAATAATTTACTTTCTCCGCCCATACGACACTAAAAAAATTTATAAGTTCCTTTAAATTATAATGTTTTTAAATGTTCGAAAGTTTTCTTACAAAACCAAAGATCTTACAAAAATCCTTCAGAAACTCTTCCAAATTTCCCGGAAAAGTAATTTCACCCCCTTGGTTTCATATATGACGCCTTTTCCATCTAATGCAAAATACAATACCAAAATCATGACACCCCCAAGGCACTGTAACCCTGCTTTACAATTGACAATAATTCAAAGAGTTTAATTTGTAAAATCAGCTACCTCCTCCTCCAATTCCCCGTTGTTCTTTATAATTTTATTAAAATTCAATTAGAATTTCCTGCATGTTTAACTGGCTGTTGTTGGAATTAGAATTTTTGTGTGCAATTTTTCGAGCTTTTTGCCTTTTTCGTTTCGTTTCTTAATTTCATGTTTTCAGTATTTTATTTCAAGGATAGTGTTACAAAGCCTCAAAAGAAGATGGTTATCATTTGCTGAGAGAAATTTATGAAGGGCAAAAGGAGAAGGAGTGGTATTGGGAGAACATACAAGAGACCTTAAACAAAATTAGCCCCAAAAACATAGTGGAAAAAGGTAGATTGGTTGTTGTTTTATATGCTTTAAGCTGATATGACCAAAGTGACCAATAAATTAATGGTAAGCAAACGAAATACAAAAAATTTCTATAGTTTTTGTAAATGTGTTAACTTTCTTATTATACTTTTCGTATCATTAAAAAGATTGTTCATATTGTTTCTTAATCAATATTTTAATTGCGTAGTGTCAGAAATATGGTTACTCCGGTTCACCCTAATATGGGCTACTCAGGGCTTAATGCGGTATTGTACGCAAGTAAGACAATCTGCCTGACATTAGCATGTTGAAAATCGTTTTATGTTTACTTTTCTTTTATATAGATCCTGTCTGTGATAGCTGTAAATTTCGTGAAAAGTAAAGCTTAACAAATTTTATACATATACGGTTTTCCGCAATTGCAATAAAACAAGACAAGCTGTCATTACGCAACTCATCAAAGTTGAATGTTCTCTTTCCGCGTAAGGAGCAATAAATATCCTTGAGAGAACTTTAAAAGAGAAACGAAAAATAAAATCTATGGCATGCACTAATTCAATTATTATTTCAAAGCCAATGAAGATTGCCTATTGCAAATAATTACAACAATAGTTTGCAAGTGCGTGGTGCGTTGTAATGTTTCAAAATTATATTTCTCATCTGTCGCGTGCTAATCGATTATGAACAAATCGCTATCAAGTCTGCATATAATATAACCCAACTTAAGTTGTCCAACCATATCCATACGCTCAAAGCTTGATTTCGAAATTTCTTTTCACAGGTCATCTGCGGCACTTTCACTTTGAGTGAGCGTTATTTCGCTTTTGAAACAGGGACGTTCTAATTTAGCCTTGCATTCTCTCTCAGATTTTAGGGCGCCTTCTTTCGAGTAACAAAAAATTGACTAGAAATGTTAACACGTTCTTTAGTTTCCGAGTCGCTAACATCGAGTTTTCGGGTGGAACGGTATTATCATCCTTTGAAGCAACATCGTTAGCAGAAGTTATGGCGGAGTTGCTTAAAGATTTTTGGTCAACAAAGTTACAAACAGGTCTTTTGGGGTTAAAAATTTTATAGTCTTGCACAAGTTCATCAAAAGCTAGAGAATTCCAAAAGGTAAATCAAAAACTTTTTTATGGACATTGTTATATACATGTATTCTCACCATTCGATTCTTGCTTTAAATGCATTTTCGAAATGCAATTTCAAATCGAATCGTTTTATCGCCCTCTTCATCAGTCTCTGGATTGCATTTGTAATCACATTGTCCTGAGAGTTTAATATCTTTTGTACTTCAAAATTGATGAATCTTCTGCATTTTTAACGTCCTTGCGGCGACTTCATCTTTTTTTTTAATATTTATTTTTAATTTAATATTTTTGTTTTTAATTTTTTGCAAGAAAAACACAAGGAATTTCTAATTTCTATGGTATGAATAAAACCTACACCAATTTGTCTGCAAATATGGTCACATCTGAGAGTAAGCGTCTGAACTTGGTCACATCTGAGAATAAGCGTCTGCATGTGTTTACAATTGAGAATAATTGAAAAAGTTAGTTTGTATTCGCTAACAGGTGTTGCGTTGAAAAGACGACTATGATTTTGATCTCTGGGAATAATTGAAAAAGTCTGTATTTGTTTACTGCTGTTTGCAATCTAATCGTGACATTTACATAATGTAAACAAACATTTCAACCAACCACGGCCAAATAAACAAAAATTTTCTGCCCAACTCAGTCGTCACCTGGTTTGCTAAATTCTTGGAGAAGAAGAAGAAATGAACTATCCAAAGCTATATTCATGTAGCGGTTTATTTACCGTATTTGTGGAACTCGGGCGGTTTATTTACCGTATCTGCGTTATCATGCAGTGCCTTATAGTGCCATTTTTTCTCTTTCCACCATCTACGGGGAGTACTGAGAGTATGTAACACATTTTCTCTTTTGTTTACCATAGTCAGCTGGGTTAGGTGTTGTGTTTTTTTTCGCTACTCTTTTTTGGCGTATAATTAATGCAAACTTATATATAAAACAAGTTTCGCAACCAGTTGACGTAGACATTTTAAGCAGCTAAACTGATTCACACCGATTTATTTTAAAGCAACGTTATGGCCGAAAAGAAAGCAACATTTTTAACATCATTTTTAATATTTTTAAATATATTAATCGATAATATTTTGGAATTTATTTTGGGTTGGTATTTTGGGCCAAAAAAGCGCGTTCAAAAAGTGCAGGACAAAGGGCAGGAATTAATCGTTTCGAAAAGTGCTGTCGAGCTGGCCCAGCTCATACGTGAACGCAAATTGAAGTCTTATGATGTGGTTAAAGCGTACTTTGAGCGCGTGGAAGTGGTAAAGTTACAAATAAATGCTGTAGTGGACGGGCCTTTCTCAGACGCTTTGGAAGAGGCAACACAAATTGACAGGAGATTAGATAATAATGAATATTCTGAAAGCGAACTGAAATCCAAACCTTTTTTAGGTGTTCCTTTTACAACCAAAGACAGCACAGCTGTTGCAGGAAAATTGCAGACACTTGGCTTGGTTTCTAGGAAAAGTCTAAAAGCAGAAGAGGACGCTGAGTGCATAAGGCTTATGAAAAACAGCGGGGCTATTATAATTGCCACCTCAAATGTTCCTGAAATTAATATGTGGTGCGAGACCAGGAATAACCTTATAGGTCAAACAAACAATCCCTACGACTTGAGACGATCTGCAGGTGGCTCGTCTGGAGGGGAGGCTGCTTTGATATCTTCATGCTGTACAGCTTTCGGCTTGGGCACAGATATTGGGGGTTCCATAAGAATACCAGCATTCAAATGTGGTATTTTTGGTCATAAGCCTACAAAATTCGCAGTGGATACTCGTGGTTGCACTTTCCGCACTGGTAAAGAGGAACAAACGATGATGGTCGTTGGTCCTATGACCCGCTTTAGTCGGGATCTAATGCCGATCTTTAAAGTACTGGTTAGGCCTGAGATGGTGCAGAAGCTTCAACTTGACCTGCCTGTAGATTTAAAAAAATTGCGCTTCTTTTATATACCCAGCAATAATAGCAAGTTATGCAATCCGGTAAACCATGAGACACAGATGGTTATGTATCAAATACGTCGCCATTTTCAAAACTCAAGTGGAAAAGAAGTTCAGCTGCTTAAATTACCTGGCATAGAATATAGTCACAAATTATGGCGTTATTGGATGACACAGGAAACTTCTGAATTTAGTAAACTGCTAGGCAATGGCACCAAAGTAAATCCTTTTTTGGAAATATTAAAAAAGCTTGTTGGAAAGAGTGAGTTCACCATGGCGGCCATCTATGGTCTAATAAATTCTGTTTTGCCGCCAGAAAAAGAAGAGAAAATGCGAGAAATAACTTCAAAAATGAAGCGCATACTGAAAGAAGTTTTAGGAGATGATGGAGTCTTGTTCTATCACAGTTCCCCTAGGACAGCAACATTCCACTATTATCCTCTAATTAAGTTTGGCGATATAAGTTATTTTTCCATATTTAATGTGCTACAGACACCAACCACACAAGTCCCGATGGGCTTAGATAGTAACGGTATGCCGATGGGTATTCAAGTAGTAGCCAATGAAATGAACGATCGCTTGTGTTTAGCAGTAGCTGGGGAATTAGAAAGAGCTTTTGGTGGTTGGGTACCGCCATATAACATTAGCAATTAATTCCAATCATTTAATTTTCATATTGTATTATAAGTAGTAATAAGTGCATGTGTAAGGAATATCAGGAAAATATCTGCTTCTTCAATAACATTTATAGAATAAAACAGGATAGTAAGTAAAATTTTACATTGGTATTAAATTACATATCTCGACTTATGCTACCGCAGCACATATATATATGTACAATATGTAGAACTTTTTACTTATAATACTCAAAAAATATCGCAAGCGGTAATTGCATATTTTTTTTCTTAAATTACTCGTGGACTGATGAATCCAATTTGCTGTAGTAATTATAGCATATTTTGGTTCAACGTGCATGTACATTTTAGAAAATAGTATTTTGCTCTGTTTGAGGCGAAGAACTTTCATGTTAAAATGTAAAAAATGAGAAAAATGAATCTACAACAATAGATTAGATGAAATACGTATGACATGATTCACTGATCAAAGTTATTTTGAACCAAAAGAAGCCACTTCTAAAGACACATATCACTGGAAAAACAATAACGAACAGCGCCTTAATAACTTGGCCTTTGAAATGCTTTCTAAGAAGGTGGAAAGCAAACTTTAATCAAATCTTTACATTCCACATCGCTGTGGAAAGCGGAGATAGGAAATTCGCCGTAATTTTTCTTTTAATTAATTTATAATATTTATTTCGGTAACATACCCGTACTTCCAATCCAAAGAAGTAGCCAACTGAATATAATCCCGTTTTGCGTGAGCGTTACTTGAATTATTAAAAGGAAACACACATTTTCATGTATTACTGTTTGCTAAGATTATCGCTAACACATTTGAATCAAAATCAAATTAATCCGGTAAAAATCTTGGCATGCAGCGTTCAATATTTTGAAGCACAAGATGCTTGAAACATTGTTATGACTAACTGGTACGGTTGTAAAACGGAAAGCCATCTGTAATTGAGTTTTTGAGTACGCACTCAGGATAGTAATTAAATAATAAAGACAAACATTTATTATAATCCATGATTTCCTTTGTACTTTTTTCATTAGGCAAGTATATTTTAATGCGTCTCTTGAAACAGTTCTAGCTTAGTCTTGTTCTCAGTTTTCACAACGGCAATCCTCGAAGTGCTACTAACGAGGCTAACAATATTTACATTAACGGTTTCGTTTGTTTCTATAATCACCACCCATGAACAAAATGTTAAAGTTAATATTTGCTTGTTTTTATAATCCGCGAGTGATACCCTTCCTGCGTGTCTTTTTTCATCGCAATAGATACTTTCAACCTTGCATCCTTGATCAAACAAATTTTCGCTCGCACTACATATGTGTACCATGAGCAATGTATTTCCGTTTCCTACTAGTTAATCATACACCTACAAGAACAGCTCTATGTGCACTATGCTATGTAATTATATTGTACATCATTTGCGGCTTGTAGGTACATCAAGTTTGTATCGGCAAGGTCTTAAATTAGACGCACCTTTTATTGTACTGATCGATTCAGAATCATTTTCATTTTGTCTGTCTATTTGACATCTGTCCATGTATATTTGTGCTCAAGCATACATCGCCGCTTCTAAGGTTCACAAAATTTGGTGCACAAATGTTTTTTGAGAAAGGGCGAACTCTATTGAAAATGAATTAGGTCGAACGATTTTTACCATAACCCCTTTTATTGTTAAAAGTCTTAAAGTGGAAACAATCCGCAATTTTCAAAATTTGTCAGCAAGTATTGCTAAGTAATATTACTTCAAATTCGCTAAGTAAAATTACTTAAAAATTGATTGAAAAATTTGCACCGAAAGGCCCTATTTTTTAAACTGCTTTCGGCAAAACACGAAAATATTGTAGTATGAAACATAAATTTTAAGACGGCAAAAATCCGTATTTTTTAATATTTTTTCACGAAAATTGGTCTACTATTTATCTCATCCCACATAAGGGTTCCTATGCAAAGTAATCCTTCACGTAGCCACAAGTTATAACTTTTAATGCTTTATGTCTGTAGTAGGTGAGCAATGAAAATATTTTTGACAAGAAAATTAATTTTGTAAGTTTTGATTACGTCTTAGATCCCATACCACGTAAAGACTTCCATGAAAAGTATGTTCTTAGTAGAAGAAGAATTACACTTTTTTGTATTCTATGACAAAGATAAGTAAAGAATTGACGAAGTGCTGTAGGACATTTAATGGTTGGCTTTGTCACACTATAGCGTTTTTACTTGCTTGGCAAAGGTTAATTGATGGATTTTAATGTTAATTGCATTTCATTTTATTTTAATTACGTCAAAAACATTATAAGGTCAAAAAGGTAAACAGAGCGCATGTTTATATAATGCTAAATGACAATAATTAAAAACACTTCACAATTTTGCAAAAAAAAATTGTCAAATTCTCACAATGACTGATTTGACTAAGCGGTTATTAGGACTAATAACTATATTATTAATAGTGGAAGATAAGAAGAGTACAAAAAATGAAAAACGGAAGTGTAATGATTTCCTATAAATCTTACCGTATAAAAGACACGTTTAAGGACCTACTTAGATTCAACTGGCAATTCCCCCACCAATATGCTCAGATAGTATAAACACCGTCTTCAAACACGAACAAGGATAACGTTATCGATTGAGTAACGTACGTTTCACATATTCACTTTTATCAGAAATGGAGAATAAGTGATAATTTTCATTAAAGTGGACAGTGGACACCATAGGGAATGCAGTTCATAGCTAGCCCTACAAAGCGGTACGCCAAACAGAAAAAAGTATCTAGAGACTCTACACGGGCTCCGAGCTCATTCATTAAAAATGAAGAGTCTACTTCACCATTAATAACCTTAGCCACGAAACTTACTGCATAACCGATACTTCTCTTCCTTAGAGAGTGCCGGCTGATTAAAAGGAGAGTTGTTCTCCTGAGGAGTATGTATTTTTTGGGTTTTTCATCTAAACAACAAATACGTGAAATTGTTTCTAAACAGACTCCACCAAGTACACATGACAACTACAGCTGTGACCAAACAACTGTGGCATACATGCCGATATGTCTAATTAACGATGCGTATATGCTTTTGACGTAAGGATTATCAAATCTAACCTAAGTAATTACCGATTACGTTTGAAGATTAAATGACGTATGGATGTTTATATTGCTTTGCACTTTCAAAGTTTCAAGGCCACGCCATTAATCTCGCATAACTTCCCTAGGGACAACAAGTCGAATTGAAGTCAGCAGAAGCCCTTCATATCATTGGAGTGGTGAAATAGCTTAACGTCATCAGCATGCATGAGAATGCAACACACATGAGAATGCAACATACGTTTTAATCGTTGATGGAGTGCCGTTTATAAGTCGGAAGAAGAGAATTATGCCCAGGTGACTATCTTGCGGCACGGTACATCCCACAATAATATCCCTAGAGTTGTGCAAATTAATTTGTCCTTTTTGTGGATGACCGGGTGAGGTACGAGGCAATCCAACTCAAAGTGTTGTAGAGAAACCGATTAGGGATTGCACGTAAAATGCTCCTTCTACCACACGTTTTACCAGGGTCAGTAACGATTTCGCCGATTTGCATGGTAGTTTCGTTAAGCACGTGGCACGAAAACTCTAAAAGATTTGTGACCGTCTACCACTTATAAAATCACGTTGAAACTGCGAAATTATAGATTTAATTGAACGGATTAGGCGTTTAGTAATCAATTATTCAAACAGATTGGGTAATATGGAAAGTTTAGCAATAACCCTGTAATTTTGAACACGCTCTCTACTGCTATTTTTTGATGTGGGACTAAAGTACTAGGCCTCCATTTGCTGAGAAAGACTCCGGTTTTGAGAGAAGTATTAAACATGTGCAGGATAGGTATTGGTATAGTGACATGTCGATTGCTAGGTGCGGCGATCGTCAAGAATGAAGTTAGCGATGCATAAGTATTTTTTATTTTTTGTTTTGTGATTAGTCAGTGGAGGTTCGCGCTTATCTCTGGCTTCGATTGGTTGTCTTTCTTATAAGAAAAAAAAACACTTTTTTACGAATTATGTTTTAAAAGCTTGAGATTCGAATAAATTCTGTAAACCACAGATGATTTGCGAAAATTTAGAGTATATGGATATCGTAATTTAAGCATTAAAAGACTAAGCTATGTTCTTATTATCGCTGTCATTTTGTAAAATAGTAAAGATTGTGATGGTTATTCCTATCCGTTAGAAAGCAAAAAAAATGAAAGACAAATAGTTCCTTTTCACAGTACGATCTTTATTTATAAGTTGCTTTTGCAGTAATGTACACGATAACTGAACAATGTTTTCGATGCAATTATGAAAAGGCAATTTAAACTATCTAATAACTACATTCCAATAAACATAAACAAAAAATTTTTTCGTTCTCCTATAAAATTTCAAGCAATTTAAATATAAAGGTAAGCACATAAAGAGCCGTATCATAAAGATCAGAAGAACAATGAAATTTCCGTAGTCCATAGCATTAGGTTTCTGTTTTTTAGAGTAATAATAATAAATAAAAATATTTTTTTTTGGATAAAATCGGAGATTTGTATTGTATATGTAACGTTGCACAAACCATGGAAAACAAAATGTTTATAATTTTTGTTGCGTAGGCGTGTGTCTTTTGACCAGTTTACCCCATACACAACGCAGTTGGGCAGATGGACGTGGCTAAATGCATTGTGAGTTTGACACTACTATGTGTTATGAAAGTTTATACTTTACGGGATTTTATTTGATTTTCCTTCTAAGTGTTATCAACGTTTGAGAAAAAAAATGAAATTATGATACCTTAGAAAATTAGATAGGCATGGACGATTTTTTCAATTTTTATAAAGGTGCTACAACGTAGCTTATTAATATGCTTTCAAATTTTTTATAACTTCGTCTTAAAGGTTTTCATCCCTTTTGGAATTCGTAGATGTTCTCAGTTAACGTTACATTACAGGCCTGTCTTTCTACCGATTTAGTTCATTTTCAATACTGACGCGAGAATTTCCAACGTTTCTGCCAAAATTAAAGCTGATAGCTTTATTTTTGCGACTAGAGTAATGTTTGTAGCGTGCATAACACAGGCGGACCTACTTAAATCGATTTAGAATTTTTTGCTGATCAAGAATATACATGTTGCAAACGCTT